GGCAGGAACGGACTTGGGGTGCGAGAAGGACAGATTCGGGATGCAGGAGGGACTCAGGGTGTGGGAGGGACTTGGGGTGCAGAATGAGCCCTGCAACACCTTTCTCCCCCATGTGTCCAAGCCAGTCAGTGGTGCAGACCTCGCCCCCCACAAGCATTTGTGAGTCCACTGGCGGGAACATTCCTCTTTCGTATGGCCACCAAGCACAGCCTGAGCCAGCAGGAGGCTGTGCCCTGCCACCTGTCCTTCCGCGGAGCTGGTGACAGATGGCGACAGGCACGGGTTCCCATGGGGTGATGGCTGTTACAGGGAACACAGCACCTGTCCTGGGTCACCTTTCCAAAACCTAAGGAATGTGACACTGGCTGACTCCAAGCACCTCCACAGGGATGGGAACTGGAGGGCGTGTGCCTGGACCTCTGACTTCTGGTCACGTGGACAAGGCTTAACATGCAGAAAGGCTGGAACACGCAGTGAAATACCCCCATAGCGTAGTGCCTGAGGCATGTGACTGCTAACCAGCAGGCTGGCGGTTCAAACCCACAGCCACTCCTCAGAAGGAAGGCTGGGCAATGTACTTCTGTAGAGATACTACCTGGGACACCCAAGGAGGGGTGGCTATGAGCCGAAGTGACTCCACAGCAGTGAGTTTGGTTTGGTTTATGTCACAAGGTGCTCTGGTGGCGTCAGGGGCTTGCAATCAACTCTTATTAACCTAAAGGCTGGAGGTTTGAACCCACCAAGCGGCACAGTAGAAAAAGACCGGCCATCTGCTCCCGTGAACACCCAGCCGAGAAAACCCCATGCAGCAGTTCTACCGTGTCACCCACGGGGCCACCCTGTCGGAAACTACTCGGCGCCAAGAGGCAAGGGTCCCAGCGCTGCAGGGACACAACGCAGGCGACAGACGCAGTCCAGCACGAATGACGCGTTAGAATCAAGGGGTCAGAAGGAAGACAGACCCGAGTGCCCTACACGAACGTGGAGAAGTGACCGCGTGCTGTGAGGCGGGCTCACAATTCAGATGTCATGAAGATCCAGTGGTGACTCTCTGTGCAGACGGCAAACCTGGCACGGAAGCCACCGAGCTGGACCACCCCTGCTTCTCCCCGCGTGAGCGCGCCTTCCTTACCTCCCTGAAAAATGAGGCCTGGGAGGCCGGCCTGTGGCCAGGAAGATGGGCGTCAGTCTGCAGCTGACAATGAAACGCTCAGGGACCCGAGGATCAAAGGCCACTTGACGATCAAAGGCCTTGTGGGCGTGAGAGAGGAGGAAAGGCCACAGTGGGGACCGGACGTGCAGGTGCTCAGAAGGACAGCCCCAAGCACAGGGAGGATGCAGGTCACGAGTCCTCAGTCACACCGGCTCGGGCAAGGCCCCTCAGCCGCGCTTTCTCCCAGAGCAGGCCTCATGGGCAGCAGGCCTCCAGCTGGGTGGGTGCCGACTCACGAGCTGGGCCACAGGCGCCTCTATATCCCCACCAGCTCCACGAGAGGCATCTCCCTGACTTCTCCCGTCCAGATGGGCCCACGGCGACGCCAAGGCCACAGGAGCCTGAACTGCAGTTCACGCCAACCAGGACAACACGCCACCTCTGCAGCTACCGCCCTCACCAAGGCCACACACTCGCTGCACTTCTTTAACTCCCCCAACACTCCAAACTCGTGCCGTCGAGTCGGATCCGACTCACAGCGACGCTCCTTGGGTGTCCGAGGCAGTACCTCTAGGGAAGTAGATTGCCCAGTCTTCCTTCCGAGGAGTGGCTGGTGGGTTTGCGCCACCATCCTTCTGGTTAGCAGTCAAGTGCCTTAGGCACTGTGCCACCAGAGCTCCCAGCAAGACAAAAAGGAAAAAAGGAGTTCTTGTTGGACTTTCTTAACCACCGTCTAGCAAAACAGAAGTACAATGTTACCTTCTAAGTATCACATAAAACAGCATGGGACTCAATTTAAAAATAAGACTGACCTTTTTCTACACTTACACCACGTAACCACAAAATCCTTCTGATAAGCCAATTATCATCCAAATCAACTAGAGGAAAAAAAATAGGATTTGGTATTCAAAACACGGTATCCTCCACAAAATTAAAATTAGACTCCTCCTCCACACTGTGTCCTGGCTTCAAATCCTCATGACTGTCAGTTGCAAAGAAGGGGGCCATGTAAAATGGGGGACAGAGGAAGGGCAGCAGGGCCAGAAACGTAAAAAGGGGAAGTGTGGCCATGTCAGCAAACACTGAACTGCGATCTAACAATGAAGCTGCTTCCTGCAACAACAGCTGGATTTCCCCAGCACTGAGACCGTTCAACACCCAGGGCAGCAGCAGTCAAAAGTCCGATGACATCCTGCACTGGCAAACCTGCTGCAAAAGACCCCTTGGAAGCGCTCAAAACCAAAGACATCACCTCGAGGACAAAGGTGCACCTGACCCGAGCCGTGGGATTTTCAGCCGCCTCCTGAGTGTGTGACAGCTGGACAACGGAGAAGGAAGATGGGAGAAGAACCGACGGATTGGGGTTGCGGTGTTGGCGGAGTACGCCGACGACACCCTGGACTGCCGGGAAGGAACAGATCTGTCTCAGGAGAAGCACAGCTGGAACGTTCCCTGGAAGCGAGGGCGGCAAGAGTTTAGCTCTCGTACTTCGGCACATCGTCAGGATGGACCGGTCAGTCCCTGCAGAAGACATCGCGCTTGCAACTGCAGAGGGCTGGTGAGAAGAGGGACGTCCTCCACAAGATGGAGTGACAGTGCCTGCGACAAAGGGCTCAAACACAGCACGGAGCCTGAGGACCCGGCGGTAGGGCCTGGCAGTGTGCTGTTGTGTTGTAGCTGGGGCTGCCGTGGGGCGGAGCTGAGGCCACGGCACCCAACACTAACAACAGCGAAGACGGTCTCCATCAGCACTCGGTACACCCTCAGTCTGTCTCCTCTGTGGTCGTCCACGATTCTCACGGTGACCCCACGCGTGTCAGAGAAAATCTGCTCCATGGCTTACCCAGGCCTTGACCTTCGGAAGCAGACCTCCAGCCTGTCTTCCAGGGCCTCTGGGTGTTGTCTCTTCCCCAAGGCTGGAAACCCCGTGGGTCCCGGTCCCCCATTCTTCGGTACAGCATCTACTCCAGGGTTCTCCACAATCCCCCAACAACAAGCTGTCAGGGCCCCTCCCGCCAAAACATCCGCTGCTGTCAGCTGTAACGGACTACAATACACCCTGAGTTCAGGGTGAGCCCATGCACAATAACACATGCTGCCTGGTTCCGAGCCAGGCCCAGACAGGTTGCTGATGAGACCACGGTGGCCTGAGGTTCTCAGCGGCCTTTCTTGGCGGTCTGTCCGAGGCTGGAAGCTCTGCTGGGATGTGTTCACCAGGACAGCAACACCCACGTCTGCACTGACAATGGGCCATGTCTGCACCAAGCACCCTGGCTGGGACAAAAGCACGGCTGTCGAGTCAGTTTCGATTCGCAGGGACCCTGCAGCACAGAGCAGAACCGCCACAGGGCTTCCAAGGCCGCCCATGGGAAGCAGACTGCCTTACCTTTCCCCCAGCCGTGGCTGGTGGGTTCAAACCACCGACCTTTGGGTTAGCCACTGAGCGCAGAACCCCTGAGCTACCAGGCTCCTCGGTCTCCGGCCGGAAGGGGCCGTCTCCCACTGAGCCACCAAACATCTGTCAGTACACATCAAAGCCCCGGGCACACGAGGCACCTTGTTGAAAAGCTGAGCGAGGACACTCAGTTTCAAACTTCCTTGAAGAAGGCACTCACCTGCCCAGGAATTTCTCCGCCCCACACAGGCAGTACACAGCCAGACAGAAGACGCCCAGGAGGCCACCGCAAAACGCCTTGGGCTGCATGGCATGGAAATCTGTGAAGAGGAAGTATCACAGACGTAAGACATACGAAGATCTCAAACTTTAGAAGCACACCTAGGGGTTTTAGACACCAAGCATTTGTTCTCCTGAACATAAAACGCCCCACACTTCTTTTCTGCATACTCTAAAGTGGCTTTAGTGGGTAAATCTCTCTTAAAAATCCCACACAACTGCTGCTCAGTCTTCTAACATCGCGGATACAAGAGACCTAGAGGTGACCTTGTGCTGCCAGGGAGGCGTCCTAGGGGAAAGTCTCTGGAAAGTCTTCAGAGGCGAACCCAGCCTCCCAACGTCTGAGCTCTGGTTAGTTACGTGTTGTTGTTGTTGTTGTTGTTATTTGCTGTTGAGTCGCCCTGACTCATAGCAACTCCTCCTTGGGTTTCCGAGGCACTATCACTAGAGAAGTAGGATTGCCCAACCTTCCTTCTGAGGAGTGGCTGGTGGATTTGAACCGCCAGCCTTCTGGTTAGCAGTCAAGTGCCTTAGGCACTATGCTACCAGAGCTCCTTTAGTTACATGTAGAAAGTTTAAATAAAGGCCAAAGAGTAACAGAAGGACAGACAGATGACCACCCAAGCATAAGGCAGGTGCAGTGGTCCAGGAGGTGTCAGATGGGGAACTGAGGCACAGCCTTCAGCCTCCAGCGAGGCAGGTCCTACTGCCAAAAGCGGTCTGACCCCAGGGAAAGCGCAGTCAGGATCTGACGCGGGCTGCTGGAAAGCCAAAGGGTTGTTCATGCCCAGCTAGTACCTGCACCTGGGACGATCCTACTCAGGAGGCAGGTAACTGAGACCGGCTGTCCCCACCTTCTGAGCGTCCCTCCTAGGGGACACCGTGCGCCCTAAGACGTGCGCTCCCGCTCCTGAGTGTCGCTCCTAGAGGACCCCATGCGCCCTAAGACGTGCGTCCAGTCCTGAGTGTCGCTTCTAGGGGACCCCGCGCGCCCCTGAGACGTTCATCTCTCTCCTGAGTGTCGCTCCTAAGGGACTCCGTGAGCCCCTGAGACGTGCGTCCCGGCCCAGAGTGTCGCTCCTAGGGGACCCCATGCGCCCCTGAGACGCGCGTCCCAGTCCTGACTGTCGCTCCTAGGGGACCCCGCGCGCCCCTGAGACGAGCGCTCCGGCTCAGTGCTCCTCGAGCGGACTGTGACCCCGCAGCTGCAAACACCCCGAAGCCTACGGGGCAGTGCAAACGCGAGGCTGCAAAGGGGCGACCTCTGCGGCCGCAATCCCTCTTCCGTCCGCCGCAGTGCCAGGATTCCTGCAGCCCGCGCGCGCTCCGAGCGCCGCTGGGCACCGCCTCACCGGAGCTCGCAGCTTCAGAAGTTCCTGGGCTCCCGCCGGACCGCCGAGCTCCTCAGCGCTTCCGCGAACAGGCTCAAGTGCGCAGGCGCCGCCGCGCCCCCTCCCCGGAGCCTCGGCCCGCCCCGTGGCCCCGCCCCTGCCTCGAGGGCCACGCCCCCACCTCCCGGGTCTTGTTACCATGGTCCAGCTACGCAGGTCCGCCAGGCCTTCCCCCGCTGGTCCTCGGTGGCCCCGCCCCACCCGTAGCCAGCGCCGATTTCTATTAAAGCTCCAGTTTCAGCCACAGCCTTGCCCCACCTGCATCCCACGCGGTGTGAGAGCATTGTTTTCAAAGCCCACGTTCTCTTGTTGCTTGAAACCAAAAGAAAAAGAAGAAATCAAACCCACTGCCATGGAGTCAGCGCCATAGGGCTTCCAAAGCTGTAAATCGTCAGGGAAGCAGACTGCCTCATCTTTCTTCTGCGGGCAGCTGGTGGGCTCACAAGGCAGACCTTTTGGTTAGAAGCCAAATGCTTTATGCACTGCCCCATCAGAATGACTTCTTGATGTCTGAAGTGCTCCAATTTCTCTCCAACCGCCCTGTGTATTTAAGTGCGCAGTCGAGGGGTGGGACGGAAACACTTTAAAGTGTTAAAGAGTAAAGATGCCACTTTGAAGACTAAGGGGCCTCTAACCCACGCCATGGTATTTTAGGTGTGGAGTCGACTCAATGGCAGTGAGTTTGGTGTGGTTTCAAATGCATGTGAGAACTGGACAATGAATGAGGAAGACCACAGGGGAACTGATGCCTTTGAATCGTGGTGTTGGTGAAGAACACCGGACACACCATGGACTACCAGAACCAAACCAAAACAGACTCACCGCTGTCGAGTAGGATCCGCCTCTTAGCGGCCCCTCCTTAGGTTTCCCAGGCAGTATCACTACGGAAGTAGGTTGCCCAACCTTCCTTCCAAGGAGTGGCTGGTGGGTTCGAACCGCCGGCCTCCTGGTTAGCAGTCAAGTGCCTTAGGCACTTCGCCACCAGAGCTCCTGTGGACTGCCAGAAGAAGGAACAAATCTGTCTTGGAAGAGGTGCAGCCAGAATGTGCCCTGAAAGTGGGGAAGGCGAGATTCCACTCTCGTACTTTGGACACGTGATCAGGAAGGACCAGTCCCTAGAAAAGGACACCGTGCTTGGTAAAGCAGAGGGCCAGCGAAACAGGGGAAGGCCCTCAACGAGATGGACTGACACGGTGTCTACCACAACGGGCTCCACCATAGCAAAGACTGAGCACGGCGCAGGACGGGCAGTTTCCTGCAGCCCACGGGGCCGCGAAGAGCCAGACAAGTCAACAGCGCCTGACACCACGCTCAGTGGTGCCCCTGCCTGCCCTACCTCAGACCGGCCTCTGCGTCTCCTGGCTGCCGACACGCCTGTCATCGGGGAGCCTGAGATCCCTGTCGGAAAGGGGCTGGGCTGGAGAAGGGCTGCAAGGTGGGGGTGGGAGCCTGCGTGCAGGAAGCGGCCCTGGCCCTCTGCTCAGCCAGCCGCCGTCGCGTGGACTCCAGATCACGCTGACACGCGTGTCACATAGAAGCGGGCTCCACGGGGTTCCCGGGCGCTGAGTTTTCTCAGCAGATCGCTGGTCCTTTCTTCTGAGGCGTGTCTGGGTGGATGGGAGCCTCCACTGGTACGCCCCGTTCATGTCAGCGAAGGACTCGGCCCGCCACCGCAGCGGGCAGCCTGCCATTTCCAGCAGCAGCTCGGTCATCTCAGTTCAGTTCCAAGCCATGAAGTGCCCCCAGTGCTGATTCTGCTTGATCATATTCCGTTGTGTGCATACATTCACTACTGCATACCTACTGTATGGCAGCCTCCCCAGAAACGGAGACCCACGGAGCCGACAGATCTGAGCCTGTCCTGAAGCTCAAATGAAGGGCCAGCCCGTCCACATGCCTACCAGCAGCTCGACCAATCTGCCCTTACCCCCGTGAGAACCAGAGGCAGACGACCCATCCCAGGTCGTCCCTGGGAATCCCATGGGGACCTGAGGTTTACAACCTCGCCTCCCACCTCTTTGCCACCTTCCCTCATACCTGCACAGTCCACACACCTGTTGACATCTGCTCAGAAACCCACCTGGAGACCCACCCACGGCCTCCTCACCGCAGAAAGGGAGCTTGCCCCCCTGGGCTGTGTCACCTTCGACAACCTCAGCTCCTGATCCAAAGCCCAAGGGAAATCAAACCACACCCACTGCCGTGGAGTCAATTTCTGACTCACAGAGACCCCGTGTACCAGAGTGGAACAGCCCCACGGGGCTTCCCAGGCTGTCGGTCTTAACGGAAGCAGACGTCTCTGTCCCTCGGAGTGACTGGCCCTTCAGGTAGCAGCCAAGCCCTTAACCACTGTGCCAGCAGGGCCCCTTCACTGACAGTTAATGCAACGGGTGCCCTATCAGTATTACGTCTTCACTCATAGTTTTTAGTATTGGTGTTAGCTGCTGTCGCGTTCACCCCTAACTCAAAGCCCCCGTTCAGCAGAACAAAACGCTGCCCAGTCCTGCACCCCCCGTCGGGAGGGGTGAGCCCACCCCGCAGCCACTGTCAGTCCCTCTCATCGAGGGCGCTCCCCGTTTCCACTGGCCCTCTACTTTGCTGAGCATGGTGACCCTTCTGGATCACATGTCTGCAGTTGGAGACCTTCTCAGCCGTTTCTGTAGCCAACCAGGGTGATGACTACGAGGGATTCAGCCTTGTCCAGCGTTCTGCTATGCTATTCCCAGGGCTGGGCCTGAACCCGTCAGAAAGCAACACAGGGCCTCATGCTTCACCCCTGGGACTTGTCAGGATGCAGCCTCAGCTGCTGTAACAAGACCCAGAATGACCGTGGCCTGAACAAGCAACCGGTTTTCCCCTCTTTCAGTCAACCGTGCAGTGCCAGCTGTGCCCCGCTACCTGACGTCACCCATCTGTCTCCGTCCTGTTGCTCAGCCGTCCCCTCAGCCACTTCTTTGGAGACAGGACAAGGAAGCGGTGGGGCAACATTTTACTCTTCAATGATTCAGAATCATTTTCACACTTTTTACCTGCCTCGGAAACCCAAGGAGGGGTCGCTATGAGTCGGTTCCGACTCAACGGCACATAACAACAACAACACTCCTTACAAGACCCACGACCTTTGACTCTGACCCACAGAGCCTGTAGAGGACAGAGTGGAACTGCCCACAGGGTCTCCAAGGCTGTCAATCTTAATGAAGTAAAGCCCAAACCACACCCACTGCCTGGAGTCCATTCTGACCCACAGCGCCCCTAGAGGACAGAGTGGAAGTGCCCACAGGGTCTCCAAGGCTGTCAGTCTTCACAGAAGCAAAGCCCAAACC